GGGAGAAGCAGGCTTCCTGCTGAGCAGGGAGCCCAATGCGGGGCTCGATCCCAGGACCCTGGGATCATGACCTGAGCTGAAGGCAGACGCTTAACGAATGAGCCACCCAAGCACGTGGCAAGATTTGCTTCTTAAGAAACATGACTATGACAAATTTGAGACAAAATGTTTGGCACACACTAATAAAAAAAAACTCATCAGTTCCAAAATACATTTTATGCTAAAATATTCAAAATTGATGAAAGGCTCAATCACACTTGAAAAATTGTGAAAAATAGCCACTCTTGTCCTTTACTTACCTAAATTGATTAATTTAATTTATAAATTCAGTAACTATCACACCAAGTTTTCAAATAAATTTAATGTTGTTTTAATCTTCAAGGCTGAAATGCAGCTAAGAAATATCCATATTAGATAAAAGTTTACACTTCTATAAATATGCACAATTATCTAGGCTTTAAATAAAAAAAACTTGGTTGAAGCAAGTCAGTATTTTAAAAAGCATATAATAAGAAAACTAGATTCTGTTTTTCATAAGTATAATTTTAGAATTTATTATGAGGAAGTATTATTTATGACAGAATCTCAGTGAAATATCTTCTGGTAGTTTCAGTACAGTATTTTGGGCTAAACTAAATACAAGACACATAGGAAGTACTTAATAACCATTTGCTGAACAAGTGAAACTCTTAAAAATGAGTAACATTTTTTTTGAAGTCAGCTGTGCAGTAATTTTCAATTGCAGCTCTGGAGCTGCCCTTTAGCCACAAGCGGCTACTGAAAACTTGAAATATGACAAGTCCTAACTGACATGTGCTGTGAGTGTAAATACACACCAGATTTAAAAGACTGAGAACGAAAAAAAAAAGATGTAAAAATACTTCATTAAAATGGCTTTGGATTAAATAAAATATATTATTAAATATAATTTCATCTGCTTCTTTTCACTTTTTTAAACATGGCTACTAGAAAATTTTAAATTACAAATATGACTCACATTTGTGGCTCACCTAGTCTTACTGGATGCTGTAGAGAAGACTCATTGTTTAGGGACTAGATCATCCTTATTTGATTTTTCTCCCTTACAGACCTCTCTTTCAGCCTTTTTTTTTTTTTTTTTTTAAAGATTTTATTTATTTGACAGAGAGAGAGAGCACAAGCAGGGGGAGCAGCAGAGGGGGAGGGAGAAGCAGGCTCTCCACTGAGCAGGGATCCCGACATGGGGCTTGATCCCAGGACCCTGGGATCATGACCTGAGCCAAAGGCAGCCGCTTAACCAACTGAGCCACCCAGGCACCCCTCTTTCAGCTTTTAAGGGGGAGAATCAGCAAGGGTTAAGGATGACTCCTTTAGCTTTGAAGTAAATATAAATAATTCATCTTTATCTCATCTTTATCTTATATTTACTTTATTAAGTAAATATAAATAATTCATCTTTATCTCATCTTTATCTTCATCTCATATAAAGATGAGGAAGATTATTTGGTTATCCTTTAAAGTCTGCAGAAAGTCCTTATCTAAGATAATTGTAAAGGGGATACTAATGAAACATTCTTCTTAGGAGTTACTAATAGAAACAAAAGGGATAACCTGACTTCAAAACGTTTGAGTATGAATAACTGATGCATAATAAAAGTCAACTTCATATGATAATAAGGTTTACCTACACATAATCCATATTGACTTTATTTTCCTGTTTTAAAAAATGAATCCTCCTTTCAAGTTTTTCTCCACAGTGGCCCCTGAGCACTCCTATTTCTCTAGTAAAGACAAAGTACAGATTTTTGTGTTTTATCTTCTCTAGAAAGCTCTCCTATGTTTCTACTTGTGTAAGTAGTGCTTTCAATGAAAAGTTTATGGACACTACTGATCATTCCCTCTTCTATGTTCTAACAGCAGTTATGGTTTCTACTCTTTACTGGAAACTTAGTATACACTACTTTGTGCTTTTTATATAGCCCTTATTATAGGATTTTTAAGTAAATTATGCAGGAGCACACACCTAATTACAGAATACATATAGAAAAGAACAAAAATCATAAGTATACAACTTGATGAATTTTCATAAAACAAACACACTCATGTAACTAGTACCAAGTGCAAGAAACAAAACATTACCAATTGAAGAAGCCCACCTCATGGCTCCTTCCCAATCTGACTTATCACCCCTCCTAGTCACTTTTGTTCTTAAACACTTTTCAAAGGCTTGACACACTAATGACAAGAACTTACCAGTCATTCCTAATGCTTTCTTCAGTTAAGAGCTCAATTCAAAGAAATATACCTAGAAAAAAATTATCTTACAAACCTAAGACTCCCAAACGTGTATATTCAGCTCAGACTTCTCCCCTAAACTCAACTTATATTTACATACATATACATAATACATATGCTTATGGACACACATGCACATATACACACACACCTGACATCTCCATTTTGATGTCTACTAGACATCTCAAGCCTAGCATGTCCAAAAACAAATCCTGATCTTGCCCTCAAAACCTGCCACCTAATTAAACAGCAACCCTACCGTTCACCCAAAAACTTTGGGATCATCGTTGATTTATCTTTATCCCACATCTAAAGGTTTTACCTTCAAAAATATCCCCAGAATCTGATCACTTCTTAGGACTTCTTCCACAACCCTGTCCACACCACCATCACGTCTTCCGTGGATTACTGTAAGAACTTAATACTTCCTGTTTCCATTCGTTCCTCCACAAAATCTAGTCTTAACTCAGCAGCCAGATGAGCCTTTAAACATTAAGTCAGATCATGCAACACTTCCTTTAAAACCTTTTCAAAGATTGCCATCTTGTGCAGAGTAAAATCTAATGGCCTTACAATGGCCTACATGCTTCTACCTGATCTGTGTGTCACACTCCCTTGTCTTTACCTGTTATTTCAGTTCCTACATCTCTCCTCATGGCTTCTTCTGCTGTCAGCCACAAGGGCCTCTGCAGTTGTCTCACCTGTCAGGAAGGTTCTTTCCCCAGATATTCTCGTGGCTCATTGCCTCTTAGTGCTAACATCTTTTCTGTGAGGCCATGACTGATAATGTTATTTAAATTGCAACTCCAGTTGTGGGGAAACTATCTCCCTTCACTCTTTTATTTCTCTTTATACCACTTACCACCATATGACATACCAGCATTTTAAAATGCTTACTCATCTATCATTCATTCATTCGAGTTGCTGTACCACTATTACCTAAAAGAGTGCATGACACACAATAGGTACCCCCAACATGAATTAAATGAATACATGAATAGTAATGACTTCATACCTGTTATTTACTTCTTCCTTAAAGTGTTTTTAAAGACTTTATGTATCGCTGCCTTAAATTTGCCTATGAACTTGTATTTTCACACACATCATTTCAATGAAAGCTCATCCAGCATAAGGTACGTCAATATAAGAAAATGGGCCACTGGTTTATCATAATTTCCAAAAAAAGTCAGGTCCATGCAAATTTCCCATCACATCATCAGTCTTAACGATAATTTAACTCTAAAGATATCTCTCTTCATAAATTATCTCAACTGATGTACATAGATGCTAAAAATCATCAACAAAATATTAACAAATTGCATTCAACAACACATTATAAGGATCATTCACTATAATCAAGTGAGATTTATTCTGGGGATGCAAGAATGGTTCAACATTTGCAAATCAATGTGATATAGCACATCAACAGCATGAAGGATAAAAATCATATGATCACTTCAATAGATGCAGAAAAAGCATCGGACAAAATTCAGCATCTATTCACAATAAAAATTCTCAACAGGATAGGTTTAGAAAAAACATGCCTGAACCTAATAAAGGCCATATCTGAAAAACCCAGAGCTAACATCATACTCAATGGTGAAAAACAGAGCTTTTCCTCTAAGATCAGGAACAAGACAAGAATGTCCACTCTTGCCACTTTAATTCAACAAAGTACTAGAAGTGCTAGCCACAGCAATCAGACAAGAAAAAGAAACAATGGTAAGGAAGAAGTTAAATTGTCACTATTTGCAGATGACATGATACAGTATGCAGAAAACCTTAAAGATTCCACCAAAAAACTACTAGAAGTAATAAATCCTGTAAGGTTGCAGGATACAAAATTAATACACAGAAATTGCTTGGTTTTTATTTTTATTTTTGGTTATGTTTCTATATACTAATAACAAAGTAGCAGAAAGAGAAATTAAGAAAACAATTCTATTTACAATTGTGCCAAACAGAATAAAATACCTAGGAATAAACTTAAGAAGTGAAAGACTTGAATTTTGAAAACTATAAAACACTGGTGAAAGATAACACAAATAAATGGAAAGATATTCCATGCTCATGGATTGAAAGAATTAATGGTGTTAAAATGTCCACACTACCTAAAGCTATCTACAGATTCAGTGCAATCCCTATCAAAATACGAATAGCATTTTCCACAGAACTAGACCAAATAATCCTAAAATTTGTTTGGAATCACAAAAGACTCTGCATGGTCAAAGCACTCTTGAGAAAGAACAAAACTGGAGGTATCACAATTCCAGATTTCAAGATATACTACAAAGCTGTACTAATCAAAACAAACGGTACTGGCACAAAAATAGACATATAAACCAATAGAACAGAATAGAGAGCCCAGAAATAAACCCATGCTTATACAGTCAATTAATCTATGACAAAGGAGGCAAGAATATACAATGGGAAAAAGATAGTCTCTTCAATAAATGATGCTTGGAAAACTGGACAGCAACATGTCAAAGAATGAAACTGTATCACTTTCTAAGACCTTACACAAAAATAAACTCAAAACGGATTAAAGACCTAAATGTGAGACCTGAACCCATAAAAAAAGAGAACACATGCAGTAATTTTTCTGACATCAGCCTTAGCAACATTTTTCCAGATATGTCTCCTGAGGCAAGGGAAATAAAAGCTAAAACAAACTACTGGGACTACATAAAAATAAGAAGCTTTTGCAAAGCAAAGGAAACCATAAAAAAAAACCTAAAAAACAACCTACTGAATGGGAGAAGATATTTGCGAATGATGTATCTGATAAGGGGTTAATATCCAAAATATTTAAAGAGCTTATACAACTCCACACCAAGAAAATCCACAAATAATCCAATTAAAAATGGACAGAGGACCTGAACAGACATTTTTCCAAAGAAGACATACAGATGGCCAACAGACAAAAGAAAAGATGCTCAACATCACTAATCATCAGGGAGATGCAAATCAAAACCAGAATGAGATATCACCTTATATCTGTCAGAGTGGCTAAAATAAAAAAAGATAAGGAATAACAAGTGTTACCAAAGATGTGGAGAAAAAGCAACCCTATACACTGTTGGTGGGAATGTAAATTGATGCATCCACTGGGGAAAACAGTATGAAGTTTCCTCAAAAAATTAAAAATAGAAAAAAAATAGGAAAAAATAAAAAAAAATTAAAAATAGAATTACCATATGATCCAGTCATTCCACTTCTGGGTATTTACCCAAAGAAAATGAGAACACTAATTCAAAAAGGTATTTGCACCCCTACGTTTCCTACAGCATCATTACAATAGCCAAGATATGGAAGCAACCTAAGTGTCCACTGATAGATGAATGGATAAAGAAAATGTGGTGTGTGTACACACACACACACACACACACACACTGGAGTATCATGGAGCCACAAAATAGGATGAGCTCTTGCCATTTGCAACAACATGGATAAACCTAGAGGGTATAATGTAAGTGAAGTAAGTCAGAGTGAGAAAGACAAGTACCATATGATTTTACTCATATGTGGAATCTAAAAAACAAAACAAATAAACAAAATGCAGAATCAGATCTGTAAATACAGAGAACAAACTGGTGACTGTCAGAGGAAGGGGGTAGGGGAAAGTGCAAAATGGGTGAAGGGAGTGGGAGATACAGGACTTCAGTTATGGATGAATAAGTCATAGGGAAAAAAGGTACAGCAGAGCGAAAATAGTCAATGATACCGCAATAGCGTTATGTGGTAACAAAAGGTAGCTACACTTACGGTGAGCATAGCATAATGTATAGAGAAGGGGAATCACTATGTTGTATACCTGAAACAAATGTAACATTGTGTGTCAAATATACTCAGATAAAAAACTTTTTAAAAATTAAACATTTCCCTAACAACAACAAAAATTATTTCAACAATTGTTTTCTCAGAGGTCCTTCTATACTGTTTGTAGGCTTACAGCATGAAATGTTGAACTAAACATAAAAACTTTACATCAAGAAAATCCAAGAGGAAGAACAAACTATCTCAATTATAAGTGTATTTAGCAAGGTCTCTGGATACATAAACACACATTGATACACAAGACCAAAATATATAAACTAGCAATGAAAACAGAACAAAGTATCAAGAACATCAAACAACATACATACTTGGAAATAAATCTAACTACGGGGCACCTGGCTGGCTCAGTTAGTAGAGTATGTGACTCTTAATCTCAGGGTCATGAGTTCAAGCCCCACATTGGGTATAGAGATTACTTAAAAAAACCCAAAAAACCTAAGACCTCTGCTCTGAAAACTACAAAAGGACGTTAAAGACTTCAGTAAATGGATTAGGTTTAGATTCAGAGACTCAGTATTGTAAAAATGTCAGATCTCTTTAGTCTATAGAGTCAATACAATCCCAGAACAAAGAGTCAAGGATAGCCAAGACAATTCTGAAGAACAAAGCTAGACTACTTAAGCTGGCAGGTATCAAGGCCTCTCATAACGCATTAGTAATTAAAGACAATGTGGAACTGGCAAATGAGGGAAAAACGGAACACAGAAACAAACCCATATATTTAAATGGTTGCCTGATTTATGACATAGGCAACAGTGCAAATGTAGAGGGAGTGGTTTTTTCAATAAAAGCCTGATTACTTGATCCCATATGGAGGGAAAAAAAAGTATCTTGACCCTTGTTTCACACCATGGACAAAAATCAATTCCAGTGAGTTTACAGATCTAAATGTGAAAGGTCCAACAATAAAGCTTTTATTTATTTATTTTTATTTTATTTTATTTTTTTTAAGATTTTATTTATTTATTTGAGAGAGAGAATGAGATAGAGCATGAAAGGGTCAGAGGGAGAAGCAG